TACATAGTAACTCCCTGAATATTTACACCAATATCTGAATTTTGGGCACAAAACAGGAGACAGTCATTTTTAGTTGATGAAAGATCTTTCCAACAATGACCAGGGGTAAGACTGAACTTCACAAAAAGGTCATGCTGGGGGTTTGATTTGGGCCCCTGAGAGAGAGAGAGAGAGAGAGAGAGAGAGAGAGAGAGAGAGAGAGACGCGCGCACGCACAGGAATGAAGATGGGTCACAATGGGCAGCCCTGAGGCTAGGAACAGAGTCAGCCTTGAATAACCAACATCAGTGTTTTAATGACCTGGTATTTACAAAACTAAAGAAGGGAAAGAAATTCTAAGTTTTTATTTCAGCTATGATCCGTAAAGCACAGAGAACAAGATCAAACAAAATCCCCTGAAGTAGTTTCAACCTTATTCAATTGAACTTCATCCCAACAAGCCTCTGAACTCTAGCACTTACGGTGACGCTAAGGAATATACAAAAATACATCAGTGTTCCCAATACTTAGCACGGCTATCAAACGTGCCCACACACAGCACTTGGGACTCAGACTGTTTCCTTCCACTGTTTATTCAACCATATGCGATTGAAATGACCGCATGCTGTATGGCTTCTTGTTAAAAGGCTGAGGTTTTACCAAGATACAGCAAGTTAGTCTGATGCTCTGCCACCCCGCCCCCCACTTAACAAATCTGGCTCAGAGAACAGCTGCCCTGGATCAGCTCTGCTAAAGTTTTTTAGGCACAGACTAAAATAGAAGTCAACAGCCAACAAGTCACCAGAAAGTGAGTGCTGGACAAAATGCAAACCCCTTCTTAGAAGACATAAGTAAACGTCACCAAGATGTCTTTTTCTTTGCTTATAAGGGCAATTTCTAGATCATTTCTCTACAGCTAAGTTTTAATAATCCCCCAGCATGCCGTTAAGAGACTCAGACAAAGTATAAACTGGGTCACCCTATAAAATCTCCAAGGTCCACAAGAATGTAATCTCAGGATTAAAACCTGCTACCAGCGCCAGAGAGCTTCCTGCCTCATTAAATACTACTGCACTGGAGACGCATCCGCAATCTGACCCATATTAATTATGCCGTTCAAAGCGTTTCAGGACAAATACGTTAAACTCTCTGCCTACTCTACTACCAAATCCAGACAGTCCAATTAGTGAAAATCAACTCCCACAATGTGAAACCACATAGTTTTTCCCTCTCCACTCCTCTCTCTCTACCAGTACCTGGTAGACAAAGCAGATGGTAGGTGCTTGGCAACCATACAGGAACTTGACGTCGATGACATGCAGCTCCTCGAGGCGGATGTTAAAGGCCTTGAGCTCTTTATTGTCCCGATCTAGCGGAATAACCTTAAAAAGGCCATCATAGAGTCGCAGGCCAATCATCCGGCATTCAGGGTCGATGATGCCAATAATGCCCGTCTCCGAGGGGCGGCCAATACGGTCCTGGGAAGTAAAACTGGGGTTAGGGAAGCATCTCAACACTCAGAGTAACAGAGGACATCGGGCACCTCTTCCCCAAGATGATTTTAGGGGTGGTAATAAAGCTAGTGGCATCCAACTGACATGCCAGGGAGCCCAAATACAGTGCATATCTTCTTGTAAAACGCTGATTCTCAATGAATTAGTACCCTGTCCCTTGGACTCTTCCTTTCTTCATGAAAGCTTAAACCCTTAGTGTTTTCTCCCTGTTGCTCTGATCACAGAGAGAGCCCCCAGCGGTTCAATTTTCTTTATCGAGTCATGACAGCTCTATCCAAAAAACTCTCATCAGCCTGAAGCAGCCACCTCACCTGGACATTGCCATGGGCTCGCGTTATGATATCAATGCTCTCGCCACTCTGCTTATACTCCAGGATGCAGGCATTGTATTTAGCTGTCAGGATAAACAGTAGGTCCTTGCTCTCGCCCTGGAAACCAACATAATACCATCAAAAGAAGTTCTTTTTGAAACAAGAATACCTATCCAGCCTCTAAGCATTTTTCTTTAAGGATGCTAAATTCTTTAAGAACTTTCTCTTCTCCTTGAAGAGAAAAATCCATAGTGAGTAGGTAACACACATCAGATGCATACACCCTAAGGGTGTGTGCAAAAGGCCAGAACTGAAGCTGGTAAACATCTAGTCTGCACTTTGATGATTGTACATGTCTTTGCCCTACCTACAATAATGTCTTGTCTATTTCCATCTCAAGCTAATCTCACTCATTCCATTCAAATTCTGAAACATGAATGTAATGCCTCCTCTAATCCTCTCCCAAATATTTGAAGAGAGAAGAAAACACAATTAACAATGGAAGCTAAAATGGATCTACAAAGTCTTACCTACTTATTAACAGAGTCCCCCAAAGAGTGAATATTTTGTTCAAAGGGTTACAATTAAAATTTTGAATCCACTGCATTCTTGTCAGATTCAATTAAAATATAATGAAACAATATGGGTGAAAACATCTGAGTTACAATAATGATAATACTGTGATAACTGTTAACATAACACCAAATGTTTGCTATGTAATAGCTCCTATGTTATTAAACATTTCATCTTCATAATAACCCAGAGATTTTATACTGCGATCCCCATTTTGCAGACAGGCAAATAAGGCTCTGAAAAGTTAGGTGATACCCAAAGTTAAAATTAAGAAGGAATAAAGCCAGGACTGCCCTAACCTAGAGCCTACTCTGAATCACTATGGTGACCCACATTTCAAACTGCTTTAATTTCCCCTTCTAAAGAAGTCAACTTGATCAGTTTTTTCCTAGTGACTCTCTTCTACCTCTAGGAAGCTGGTTTGAGAATATAAATTGAGGGAAGCCTCAGTGGCTTAGTCGGTTAAGCATCTGCCTTCAACTCAGGTCATGATCCCAGGGTCCTGGGATGGAGCCCCACATTGGGCTCCCTGCTCAGCGGGGAGCCTGCTTCTCCCTCTGCTTGTGCGTTCCCTCTCTATCTCTGACAAATAAATAAATGAAATCTTAAAAATATATATATATTAATTGAAACCCGCCATTCAAAAGAAAGAGAAAATTCTCTCTCCTAAACCTCATTCCACCCACCCCAAGCAAAAGTGTACAACAATGTAAAACCATCTAAGTTCTCGTTGCTGGGCCCAACCCAGAGCACTTACCTTGGGCCTGAAAAGCTCCATGACTGCAATCTTCCCATACATGCCCACCTCTTTGACGGGCCGAAGCCCCTCAGCAGTGACCACATAGATCTCTAATCTCGTGTTTTTGGCAATCAACAGGTTCAAGTCTTCAGCTGAAGTAAAGTGTCCTGAAAGGAACAGATCCTCTAACTTTTGAAGCCAGAGCAGTACCTAAATAATCCTATCACTTCTACTTAAATGCCTCCAGAATTCTCACTTACTTCACATATTTCTCTGGCTCCCTCCATTCACTTCCTTCTCGCCAAATCCAGCACCTCAGAGAGTCTCACTTCATACATTCAAGAAAGCTACTTCCCTAATCAGACTAAGAAAAGTGGACTGGGCCTAAGAGCAGCATGTCCTTCAACTGACAATGACTGTGAAAAACCTTTCAGATGGCTCTGTGCCCTCAAATTTGACTTTTCCTACTGCAGTGGCAGACTTATCTAATTAAGGGATGCTGGAAACAGTGTACATCTCCCTTCAGTCCTTATCTAAATTTTCACAAAATCTTGACCAAACAGAGCAGAACAAATGCAAATTCTCAGAGCTTTATATGAAAACACTGCTTTGTCCACATCTCTTGCCTTCCCCGCAGTCTACCAATACCCTGGTCCACACTCCGTCAGAGCTTCCCACTCTACAAACAACAGGGTTTTGTTTTGAAATCATGATCAGTATTTACAGAAACATACAAATTTGAGGTCTTCATGTTCTGCTGAGAACGTGGATCAAGATGATTATTCCCGGGTTCTGGACATCTGCGTCCTTTGTAATCCTTGCAGTCAACAAGGCAAACCCAGAACTGGGCTGGGCCACCCAAACCCTCTTCTCCAGCAGCTCCCTCCAGTAAACAACAGCCCAGGGCAAAGAGAACTCCTCTCCTTCGGGTGAGTGCATACATTCCTCACATCCCTCCACCTCCTGCACCTCCCAGGCTCTCCCCCAAGAAAATTCTGACCCTCCAAGTCGCCATCACCACGGCCCCTTCCCCTAACCACACGAGGCCAATCTGGGGGCCCAAGCACCACCGCACAATCAACTCACACTTCGCTCTCTGTCCCAGTGGGCCGTCCCTGTCCCCGAGGCCAAGTGACCTCCCAGGACGAAAGGGGACCCTCGAGCGTAGCTTTTGCTCCCCAAAAGGCGCGTGCTGAAGACAGTCTCTTTTTAAAGTCTTGGGCTGGGGGAAGCTCCGTCGGCCGCCAGCAACTCCCATTCCCGGGACTCGGTCCCGCCCGGCAGCCCCAGGGGCCGCGGGCCTCCCTAGGCCTCGGTTCCCCCCAGCTCCCTCCCTCGCGGGGTCTCCTGCCCTGGCAGCCTCACCGGTCACGCAGCCGTTCACGGCGGTGGGCTTCTGTGCCGTTACCACGTAGTTGTACGACATGTCGAGGTCTGGGACGGCCCGTCGGCACTCGAGCGCAACGATAGGGAAATGGACACAGGCGAAGAGACAGGGGCCCCCACCCGCGCGCGGCGAACTCCACTGCCGCTGCCTCCGCCCCAGAGACACGTTGCAGGCCAGAGCGGCCGGGGCGCGAGGCATCACGGGACGGCCTCACCTGGCCTCTTGGAGGACTCACGGCGCCCTAGGCGGCCAACCAAAGGAGGCCCCGCCCCCTAGAGGCCCCGCCCCTCCTCTTACCGCCAGAGCCCGGAGTACCCGGATGAGGGCGCGCCGTCGGGGGTCGTTGTGAAGCGGCAGCGGCTACGGAGGTGCCTGGTGCGGGCGTGAGCGGGTGGGGGAGGTGCGCGGACACCCCCTCCGCTCTCGGAGCCGACCCTCCGCCCATCCACAGACCCTGTCCTCTCCCCCTTCCATTGCTCCGGGAGCTCTCGGGGCTGTTCTCCGTTTTGGAACCGGAAATACTGCGGAGGTCTAGAGGGGGAGGGGGGTGACAGCAATTTGTGCACCTCCGAGACTAGAACGGAGGTCCGAACCTCCCTCTCCTTAGCACCCCCAGTGCATCCAAACTGAGCCGGTACCCTCACCTGACCCTAGAATGATTGATCACCCCGCCTCACCTCGAAGGACACCAGGAGGCTCGCCTCTCCCGTTATAAACTATGTTTTATTTTTCAGACTTTGAAGGGCCCACTGGGCCACTTACCCAGCCTCATTCGTGCCCCTGTTGCTGTACAAATTCTGACCATCAAACACAAAATCACAATTTCCTGGATGAGACCCTTAAAGGCCCAGGAAAGCAGTCAGCCCTGCCATTTCCAGGCCACTCCACACCAGAGGCTTTGCAAGGAGTAGGGGGAAACCACGTGGCTTGGAGTACCTTCAGAATGCCACAGAGAAGGCGACCCCCGCTTTACAGATGAGGAAGCTGAGGTTTGAGGGAATGTTTACCTAAGATCCCCTAAGTAAGTCAGGCAGAGCTAGGTGGGGACCCTGGTGTGGATTCTTTCTCTAGCAGACACATAGCATAGGACCCTGGATGGCCCCAAAAGACCTCTGAACAAGGCTGAACCTGCAGGGAGCTGAAGTGTCATTGTAGTTTACCTGTGTGGTTTCCCACACCAAGGACTCTGCCTGACTTTGGGGGCACTGAATGACCGCTAGAAAGAACACAGACTTTGTAGAAAGACTACGTGTGGGTTTGAGTTCTGGCTCTTACCAGTATGACCTTGGACAAGGCACTAGAGCTCTCTGAGTCCGGTTCCCAGAAGTAAAATGGGGTGAGAGACCAGGCTGCCTCCTTCCTGGTGCAGTGCCAAGACCAAGTGTGTGAAGATCTTCGTAAACTAATTCACTGCACATGGTGCCCACGTAAGAGATGCAGTTACTCTGTGGGTAACTGCCCCTTGATGATGAGGTGGGGTGCTGTTCCTGGGCATAAAGGCAGCCCAGTATGGATCGATCTGTCTCTTTTGGCAGCCAGGTGCAGGTGTGAACCTTGGTCAGTCCCCATGCTCTTCTCCATCCCCAGTGCACGTACTAGAGTTTGGACTTGGATCAAAGTCTGGGGCAGCTCTCTCATTACCAGGGCCCTGGAAGCGTGATTGTGCCAGTAGGCTGCCAGTGCCCCCAGCAGCCCATACTGTTCCCCTCTTTCTGCAGGTGCTGCAGCCACCTTCACTGTGCTTAGACCCCCGTAGCACCCACAGGATTGCCCGTCCTCCAGCGCCTCAGTGCGAAGGTGTGAACTCAGTGTGCTTCAGAGCCTCCCCACCATGGTGAGTCCCATGAGGGCCAGGGCAGAGGAAGGACACTGTGGTCTTGGAGCAGTGGGGGTGCCAGCCCTAGGCGTGCTGGAGTTCCTTACACCTTGACGAAGAGACGCTGCTGCCTCCTGAGGTTCAGAGAAGTTAAGAGAGAGTGTCATCGTCCCTCTCAGGGCCGAGTCCCTGCTTCCCTCCATTTCCCAGCTGGTCCCAGGGCCGGGGCTGCAGCCCCTGAGTCCCTGCAGGGCCCATCTGGCCCTGGTCTCAGTCATACATTTAGATTAGAACAATTATTAGTTATCTACTCTGTAACAGACACTGTACCAGGGGCCATGAGGGATCTGATGCCTGTTCCTGAGCCTAGGACAAGTGTGGGCTGGTCCCAGAGGTGGGATCTGCACTGTGGGAGGCTCAGCATGCCCCTGGCGGCATCATTCCAGGCCCGCTCTAGAACTAGATCTGAACCAAAGCAGGCCTTGGACAGACCTGGGTTCAAATTTCAGCCTGTCACCAACCAGAGACCTTCTTACAAGAGACTTGATCTCTCTGAGCTTTTTTTTTTTTTTTTGCCTTCTCATCTGCAGTGTGAGGCCAATTAAGGCCCAGCCTCCAAGTGGCTATGAGGTGTTAATCAGACCAGAATCCTGGGGGCCTCACTCGGTGCCTGACCAACTTCCTTTCCTTTTCTTTTTTTTTTTTTTTTTAAAGATTTTATTTATTTATTTGAGAGAGAGAATGAGAGAGAGAAAGCATGAGAGGGGGGAGGGTCAGAGGGAGAAGCAGACTCACTGCCGAGCAGGGAGCCCGATGCGGGACTCGATCCCGGGACTCCAGGATCATGACCTGAGTGGAAGGCAGTCGCTTAACCAACTGAGCCACCCAGGCGCCCAACTTCCTTTCCTTTTCATCCTCTTGGGCCACTGGGAACCAGGTTTGGCATTGGTCCCCGAGCCCTCCTGTGACTCTGGTTCAGAAGTGGTTGTGAATCCCAGGCAGGACTGTCAGGGGTGGTGGCGGGGGGGGGGGGGGGGGGGGGGGGGGGCGGATACAGTCTCGGAGGGTGGTGGCGCTGGAGGCTGGGCTTCACGTCGAGGCCAGCTCACAGTTTCTTTGCACACCCCAGTCCCCGGAAGGCTCTGAGAGCCACAAGCCCGTGCCCTTACTAGGGCAAGGCCTCTAGCAGTCTCAGTCTTCCTCCAGGCCCTGGGGGAAGCAGCGCGATAAGGCTAACACGGAACCGTCTTTGGAGCCAGGCCAACCTGGTACTTGCTGGCTGTGTGACCTTGGGCAGAGTCACTAAACTATGCCTCAGTTTCCTCTCCAGGCTAATCTTTCCTCCATAGGGTTATTGGGAATATTGAGTGAAACATGCTCAAAAAGCGCTTAGACCCTGGGCCTGGCTCTCAGTCACTACTTGGGAACAGAGCCAGTAATAACAGAGTTTTCATTCGGCTTCCTTCCTGCTGACCTGGCCTGCTCTCCTTAGCCCAGAGCAGGTGGCTTGGCTTTGGCTCCTGCCAGGCCCAGGAAAGGCCAGAATTTGCTCAAGGGAACCAGGTGCCTGCAGGTTTGGGGTAGAAGCCTCCGGGAAAGGCCCCTTGACAGGACCTGGCTCGGCTGCAGCTGCCCAGGGCCACCAGGTGGCGCTAGGAGCCTGCCCTCTGGGTCCTCACCAGGCTCCTCTCTACGACAGAGGCAGAAGTTCCAGCCTAGTCTGCACACCTCGTTCAGCTAGCACCAGCTTTTCAGAAACTGCTTGAAAAGGGGAATAACTGCCTTTTATTCAGTTCTTAAACTACAACAGGTATATTATACTGCAGTCTATTAAGTCCCCGATTTGCTGAGTAGGACAAAAGTCAGAACAACAGGGTGTCCTCCCTGGGTTCTCACAGCTGGTGAGAGGCAGACAGGGGATTTGAGCCCAAGAGCTCATGACCATGACTGCAGAACCCAAAACCTTTGCCACTCTACCCCCCACGCTGTCTACTTCTGCCTGCACCCCATGTCAGCTCAGCTCTACCCTCAGGCCAGCTGCCTGAGACCTTCCCACCAGAGGTTCCCCACGGCCAGGTTCCACTTTCAGCTTGTGAGGACCTGCCCACCTCTTCCTGGTGGTCACTGGTTGCTCAGGTCATCCTAATTTGCTTCTTGGCCCAGCCACCGAATGATTTCACACCCCCAGACCCTGATGTGTACTCTCCCTCTGCCTGGAATATACTTGTCCTTGTTCCCTTCCCCCATGCCCCTCACGCCCTTTACTTCCCTAACTCCTACTTCTCCTTCCCGAAGACTCCCAGGATCCACTGAGGAGGCGGTGCAAGCGCATTCCTCTTGTGTAGCACTTCGCACGGCATGTGGAGATGATCCCTCTGTTTCCATCAAGGGCAGGACCAGCATTCTGTCTGGACCAGCACTGGGCACACTGAGAGGCTCAGGAAATGTTTGGCCGGCACCAGAGGCCCAGTTGGAATAGCCAAGGAGTGTGGGGCCTGTCTGGTACCTTCTCTTGGCACAGGAGCCTCACCTGGGGCTTCTTCTCCTTTGACAGAAGAAGGCTGTTGGGCCCTAATTTTATTAAATTCGTCTAGACTCAGGACTCTGGTTCCCTTTTTTGGTCTATATTGAAGCCCTTTTTGCAGATTAATTTAAACCGTAGTTCAAAACACTTCATAAATTTTGCCCTCAATTAATCCCGAATTAAGAGAACTCACAGAAACCTCCGCCTGAGAAAGTCATGCCCAGTTCAAGGTACTGCCGTGTCTCTGGAGTGTCCCTGGAGTCCTTATGGCTAAGGGGTCTCAACCATAGCAGTGTGGCTGGGCAGAATGGGAGTGTCCCTGCCAGCCACGCCTGGAACTTCCTCCCGGCTCCTGTCTTGCAGACCTCCAAAAAGCTGGTGAACACGGTGGCAGGCTGTGCCGATGAAGCCTTGGCTGGTCTGGTGGCCTGCAACCCCAGCCTGCAGCTCCTGCACGGCCACCGCGTGGCCCTCCGTTCCGACCTGGACAGCCTCAAGGGCCAGGTGGCACTGCTGTCGGGTGGGGGCTCTGGCCATGAGCCTGCCCATGCCGGTGAGTAGTCTGGGACAGAGGTAGGGGGGCAGGTGCTGGGCACAGTGGAGGGGGGCTCCTGGGAGATCCTCGGTGCTGCTAGGAGGTTTAGGACAGAGGCCAGGTCAGGCCCTGGTTCCCGCTGTCTCAATCCCTCAGGCTGTCATCTGGGGCCAGTCATGGTCTTCCTCTGGGCCTCAGTCTCTCCATCTTTAAAAACACAAGGTTGGGCCAAATGATCTCTCGGGCCCTTCCAGCTCTGAGAGTCAGTGATTTTGTGAATCCTGGCTTTCCAGGCCCCCGAGCCCTTCCCCTCCTCCATGAGGCCTTCCTGACTTTTCTAACCTAGAGTAGGATCTCTCTTCTGAATTCCTGCCCCGCATTTTCACATACATCACAGATAGCCCTGGATTGTTTCCTGCTCAGTGCCAGGCATGGCATGTGAGCTCTCCTCGAGAACTCCTGGGGGATGGGGGACCAGGCTTTGTATCCTCTGTTCCTTTCCTGTCTCCCTCGGCAAATCCATCCATCCACTAAGCGCCCTTCGTGAGCACCTGTCGTCATCTGGCACCGTTTGGGGCACAAGGGATATAACGGTGAACCAGAAAGACAAGGTGCCTGCCCTCACAGAGCTCCTGTTCTGCTTTGGGGAGACCGTAACCAGGTAAACGCATAAGTGAAAGAGAGTGTTCCAGAGCGCCTTAAGTGAAGTAGGAAAGACAAGAGAGTGGGGCAAAGGAACAGGGAGTCGCTGGGGATGGGGTGATGACTGCCTCCGTTGGGAGGTCAGGGAAGGCCTCTCCACGGAGACCGCTCCTGAGGAAAGGTCTGTGGAGGGCGACCCAGGTGCTCTTTCAGCACCAAGCCTACCATGGGGCTCACCAAACCATGAAGGCCATCAGCGTGGGAAGGCCCCGGGGACTGCAGACACGGGTCCCCAGCCAGTATCTGCTCCGTCTCCAGGTTTCATAGGGAAGGGGATGCTGACGGGGGTCATCGCAGGAGCCGTGTTCACCTCCCCGGCGGTGGGCAGCATCCTGGCAGCCATCAGGGCAGTGGCCCAGGCGGGCACAGGTAATCCTGGCAGGCGGGAGGGGCTGCTGTGGGGAGGGCAAGCGCTGATGGGGCCCTGCTGGCTGTTCCTGCAGTGGGGACCCTCCTCATCGTGAAGAACTACACTGGGGATCGCCTCAACTTTGGCCTGGCCCGGGAGCAGGCCCGGGCTGAGGGCATCCCTGTGGAGATGGTGGTCATTGGGGACGACAGTGCTTTCACCGTCCTGAAGAAGGCGGGCAGGAGGGGACTCTGTGGCACAGTGCTCATACACAAGGTGAGATTTCCCACGCGGGACACTGGCTGGCGGGCACCCCCCACCCCCAGCCTTCTCTTTCCAGGCAGCACCAGGGACCTGGACCTTTCTCGCCAGCCCATGCCCCCCGCCCCAGGAGGCTGCTCCTTCCCCAGGGCTCCCTGATCCAGGAAGGCCCACCATCCCCTCAACTCCCTAAGCCCAGAATCTAAGCGTTTTCCCAGACCCTTCCCTCTACTTCCCCCACACCCAGCCAGTTGCCCTGCCCTCGTGTTCTGACTCCTGAATTGCCCCTACAATACGGGTGCCTCTCGGAGCCCTGCCCTTCCTGCCCCAGCCTCGGTTCCGTGCCCATGTGCTCATGCCCACCCAGCTGCCCCTGCTCCTCACGGGGGCTCCCTGCCTACTTCCTGCCTCCCCCTCCAGTATGTTCCCCACGCTACCCCAGGGGTACCTTTCAAAAATGCATATCTGACCAGGTTGTTCACCTGCTGAAAGCTTTCTAGGGTTGCAAGAGTCAGTCTAGGCTCCTTGGTCAGGCGCCCACCACCCTCTTGCCCCTCCTCCCCGACTCTCTAAGTTCGTTTCCCGTCGTGTCTCTTAGGCTCCATTAACGCCGGTTCACTGCATGCCTAGGCTGCAGCTTCCTTCTGGGGCTTTGCTGATGCTTCATCTAAGGCTCTGAAAATTCTTTTCTTGTCCAGCCCCGCTTGGGCCTGGCTATCTCCTACGATTCTGTAAGGGCCCGCCGCCGAAGTCCCTCCTGTGCGGAGGCTTCCCTCCTCGGTGCTCCCATGGCATGCTGTTGTGATGGACCACCTCACATTTAGCGTTCAGTTTGTGTGTGTCTGTTTCCCCAGCGCCACCCCAGATTCAGAGTTCCTCCAAGGTAGGGACTGTCACTCAGTCACCTTTTTTCTTTTTCGCACACACTGAATGCTTGGCAAACGGTGGGTGGGTGGGTGTGTGAGCAGGGAAGGACAGCCTGAGTGTATACGCCATGGAGAACCAGCTCTAGGCTAGTAATCAGGAAACTGGCCCCCAACTAGCTAGGTGACATTGGACCAGTCACCTCCCTTCTTTGGGCCCATTTCTCCACTGGTAAAGTCCCTTCTGGCTCCCACAGATTGGGGTTCTTGAAGATTCCAGGCAAGTGCCTTTGAACACAGAGGGTGCGCTGTTCTGCCCTAAATATGGTGGGCCAGGCTAAAGTGGCAGCACCGAGATGCCTTCTTCCCACCTAGAAACTCAGGCCCAGCCTGTACCCTCCCCGCAAGCCGTACGCTGACTCCTTCCCCTTATCTGTGGGTGCAGGTGGCAGGTGCCCTGGCTGAGGCAGGTGTGGGGCTGGAGGAAATCACAAATCGGGTGAGCGCGGTTGCCAAGGCCATGGGTGAGTGCTGGCCCAGGGATTTGGAAGGGGAAGGTGGGAGGTTGAGGCTGACCTTGGGACTGACTAGGCGCAGGTTCCCTGTGGCTGCATAGGACTTTCCAGGTGATTCCCCAGGGGTTGAGGGAAGGTCTCCGTGGGGGAGTTCCTAGGGACTGGTAGCCTAGGGTCCCCAGACTGGGTTTCTCCTTCACCACTGAGGTGATGAATGTGGCATCCTGGCTCAGCGAAGAGGCTGCGGTGGCCAGGGCCCCCAAAGCCTGACACCAAGAACAAAACAGTCACCCTTTCCACACCTCACTTCCCGTAGGGACCCTGGGAGTGAGCTTGTCCTCCTGCAGCATCCCTGGCTCCAGACCCACCTTTGAGCTCTCGCCGGATGAGGTAGAGCTGGGCCTGGGTAAGTTTGGGGCCACCCCCTGTCCCGGCCCCGCCCGCGCCCTGGGTTTTGCCCGCATCTTATGCCCTGGGAGCTGGTGCCAAAGTGGTCTTAGTATTTTTTCTAGGCTTTCTGTTTTGTTGTGTTTTTTTTTTAGTTTATGTATTTAAGTAATCTGTATACCCAATATGGGGCTCAAACTCACACCCTTTGAGATTAAGAGTCACACGTTCTTCTGACTGAGCCAGCCAGGCGCCCCAATGTTAGTATTTTTAAGTGGGCACTTGAGGCCCTTCTGGCCCAGCCTGTCTGATCTCTTTACCTGCTTTGCCATCCGTACCCAGGGCTCTGGCCACAGGGGCTCTGTGCCCCACCGACCTCCTTGCCTTTGCTCACACCCTTCCTGGGCCCCTGGGCCCCTGCCAAAATGCAGCCCTTCCTCCAGAGGCAGTTCAGAGGCTACCCAGCTCTCTTCTTCCTCCCCGCATGCTTCCAAAGTGATGGGCAGAGGCCTCAGGTGGCCTTGGCTGTGATTGCCTCTAGTTGAAGCTACTTAACTAGTTAAAAGTTAAGCGGTTAAGCCTCTGGTTGTCTCCACCACCCAGCCATAAGCTCCCAGAGAGTGGAGACTCTGTATTTTTCATCATTCTGTCCATCATGCCCCACACTCCTCACATCCACAGTGCCTAGCTAGTACTGAGCACTTCGTAAATCCTTGAGAAAAACATGATGAGTGAGTCCCCAGGCCCTGAGTGGGTCAGCAGTGACCAAGTCTGTCCACAGGGATCCACGGGGAAGCTGGCGTGCGCCGGGTAAAGGTAAGTGAACTCCCTGGCCCCGGCTAGTCTAAGACCAAGGCCTTCCAGCACAGCTCATGGTGGCTCTCGCTCTGACAGATGGCAAGCGCCAACGAGATTGTGACGCTCATGCTGGACCACATGACGGCCTCCGCCAACGTGTCCCGGGTGCCTGTGCAGTCCGGTGAGGGGCTGTCATGCTGTCTGCCAGCCTTCTGTCCTACTCTGGGCAGGGGGGCCTGGAGAGTCTCACACTGGTGTTGTGTCTGTCCCCAGGCTCCTCAGTGGTGCTGATGGTCAACAACCTTGGTGGCTTGTCATTCCTGGAACTGGGCATCATAGCCGATGCTGCTGTCCGCACTCTGGGTGAGCCCCACACCAGAAGGGGACTTCCCCAAGCCCTGGAGCTCCTTTCCCTGCAGCCCTTTGAAGCTGGACAGAAGAAAAGCAGCCACAATGGAGTCTTGAGATGGCCCAGAGGAGGGGATGTGGGGGCAGACGGGCCCAAGTCAAACCGTCACTGTACCAGCCGACTGCTGGGTGCCTTGAGCCTCTCTCCTTGTCTGTGAAGAGGGGGCACCAGTAGTTCCTGCTTTTTAGGGTTGTCGTGAGGATTACATGAGATTAAACATACGTGTCACACTTAGCACAGGGTCTGGCACCCAGTGAGCAGTGAGAACTCAGAAAAGGAGACTTGTAATTACCCATCTTCCCTGTAGAGGGGGCACCTCCAGGGAATGTGGTAATTTGGGGCATCCTTGAGGGATGGTGGGAGGGAATCTGGCCATCTCCCTCCTAACCTCAGGGTCCTAGCTTCCAAAGTCCTTGTTTTCGTCTTCCTGTTTCTTTCTCTGATGCTCTGAGGGTAAGTGCCCATCCTCCACTCCTTCCCTCATGGACTTCCATGCTTTGGTATTGCAGAGGGCCGCGGGGTGAAGATCGCCCGTGCCCTGGTGGGCACCTTCATGTCAGCCCTGGAGATGCCCGGCATCTCTCTCACTCTTCTGCTGGTGGATGAGCCTCTCCTGAAACTGATCGGTGAGACCTGGAAGCTGGGGTCATCCAAGCCAGGCCTCCTTGTGGCCAGAAGGAGCCACAGGGGACTTGGAGACAACACCCTATCAGGGCTGACCATCACCTCTGTAGAGACACCCTCTGTAGAGACACTCCAGCCTTCAGCTCTCACTTGAGGAGCTGGTATTAGGATCCTCCCCAGGGACGCTCCATGCTTCCCTTGTATACAGTAGGCATTTGGTATTTGCTTGTTGATATGATGGGAGCCAGGTGGGGAGTCCAGGTCCCACTTGATCCCTGACTGGCTGACCCATGTTTACGAGTTATCCTGCTGTCCCTAGATGCTGAAACCACCGCGTCAGCCTGGCCTAACGTGGCCAAGGTCTCTGTGACTGGGCGGAAGCGGAGCCGGGCCGCCCCTGCTGAGCCTCTGGAGGCCCCTGTTTCCCCTGTTGCAGGAGGTACCAAGCCCTGCGGTTGGGAAAGGTGGCCCAGGGCTTTGCCTTGTGCTCTGAAGGGTACGGGGTGGGCGGGAGCTCTGGTACCCACACCTTCCACACTGGTCGGGGGGGGTTGTGGAAAGGCCGGGTGGCCCTCCGCACCACTGTCCTCCGTCTCCAGGTTTGACCTCGAAACGGGTGATGCTCGTGCTGGAACGGGTGTGCACCACCCTTCTGGGCCTGGAGGAGCATCTGAATGCTCTGGACCGTGCTTCCGGTGACGGGGACTGTGGCACCACCCACAGCCGCGCTGCCAGAGGTGGGTGCAGGGTCCCTCTGGGGTCAGGAGAGGGCTGGTGTAGAACATGCGTTCTGAGATTTTGGCATTTCGTGAACCGGAACAACTTCAAAAGCATGGCAAGTGTTCACGTGGAATGGCCAGCATTTATTTTGCCAAGAGAGATCATTCACAGAACCTGGCACCCCTTGCCCCTTTTTTTTTCCTAAGAAAAGGCTCTCCTAACACTACAAATGTAGAGGGGTGGTTATTACAAAATAAAATGTAATCTTTTTAATATTTTTGTATTTTGAGAGAGGGAGAGTTGGGGGGAAGGGGCAGAGGGAGAGAGAGAAACCCAGGCAGACTCCACACCGAGTGTGGGGCCCGGCACGGAGCCCCATCCCACGACCCTGAGATCATGACCTGATCTGAAACCAAGTCGGACGCTCAACCAACTGCACCCGCACAGGTGCCCCAAATATAATCTTTTTTTTAAATATGTATTTACGTAGGTATGTGTGTATGTATGTACCCCAAAATCAAGAGTCACGTGTTCTATTGAGCCAGCCAGGTGCCTCAAAATGTAATGTTTTACAGTGAATAATAACTTGAGGTTCAAGGGAAACTCCTACAATTGTCCTTGTTTTTCTCAGCTTAACAGAGACTAATGAAAAGCTCTTAATTATCCAGCATAATCCCGTCAAGAATCAGGGCTACCCCGGGCCTGGCACTGATCTTGCTGCTCTGAATACAGCAGTGAGCAAAGCAGATCAGAGTCCCTCGCGGCTCGTGGCTTATGTTCGGGTGGGGGAGGCACACCGTCAGCAGGGACTATCGGGAAGAGATAGAGGGTGGCCGGTCGCGGGGCTGAGGAGGAGAGATGAAGCTGGGAAGCGAGGCGTGGGAGGTCAGGTCGAGGGTGTCTGGGGCAGGCCCCAGCTTCTGGGTGACGGCCAAGGTTCCTGCCAGTCCCCGTTTCCCACCTCTCCCCAGACTGCATCCAGGATGTAGAAAGGGAGCTTTGGGAATCTCCTAGGTTGGTTCCCTCAGCCTCTGCCAGGGGCCATGCCTTCTGCTCGGCAGTGAGGCCTGGGTTGCTTGGTTGGGGCCCAAGAAGAAAGGAGGGAGGGTCTCTTGAGTTCATTTTTCTCTGCCTGCAGCCATCCAGGGGTGGCTGAAGGAGGGCCCACCCCCTGCCAGCCCTGCCCAGCTACTCTCCAAACTGTCCCTCTTGCTCCTGGAGAAAATGGGAGGCTCATCTGGGGCGGTGAGTGCCAGCAGCCCCTGGGACCAAAGGGCTGACCCAGAGGAGTCCCGGACTGGCCAAGGCCCCGGCCAGCCCCATGTGCTCAGTGTTCTGGTCCTCCCCAGCTTTACGGCCTGTTCCTGACTGCAGCGGCCCAGCCACTCAAGGCCAAGACTGACCTGCCAGCCTGGTGTGCTGCCATGGATGCCGGCCTGGAGGCCATGCAGAAGTGAGCCATGCAGAGCCCCATGCTTTAGACCAAGACGGGGCAGGGGGCAGTGGATGGTGTCACCTGCTCCCAGCCAGGCCCCGTCCCCACCCCCATGGTGAGTCCCGGCAGGGAGTCTTACTCATCCTTTTTCCCTGCCAGGTACGGGAAGGCTGCTCCAGGGGACAGGACCATGGTGTGTATTCAGCCCAGCCCTTCCCTCTTGGCAGTATAGAAGCCTTGAAGGCCACCCTCAGTGGCAGGGCCTGTTCTTACTGCCCTCTCCCTCACCTTGGCCAGCTGGATTCCCTGTGGGCAGCAGGACAGGAGCTCCAAGCCTGGAAAAGCCCAGGGGCCAATCTGTTCCAAGTTTTGACCAAAGCAGTCCAGGTGAGTGAGCAAGTTAGTATCTTGCCTGTACCCGTTTCCTCCCCCAAACATGGAGAGCATTACCCGTCTCAGAGGATTGCCGTGAGGCTTGAGGTATGTGGAGCCTCAGGGCGTCGAGGGCATAGCAAGCCCTCAGTAGATGGTAGCCTCTTGCCCTGCCAGAGGTAGGCGAGAGGTGATCTCTCCACCCTGGTGACAGTACTTAGGGTGCTGGTAGGGCTGAGACAGGAGGGTGTAGGGTGTCCATGGGAGGAAGGAGGCCTGCTGGCTTGTCCTTGAACCTGCTCCCATGCTCCCACCACTCAGAGCGCAGAAGCTGCAGCCGAGGCCACCAAGAACATGGAAGCTGGAGCCGGAAGAGCCAGTTACATCAGCTCTGCGCGGCTGGACCAGCCGGACCCTGGGGCAGTGGCAGCTGCAGCCGTCCTCCGCGCCATCCTGGAGGCCTTGCAGGGCCAGGGCGTGTGAGGGCCTCCTGGGCCTCGGTGCCTCTCTCACCACTGTGCAGAGATGACCACTGTCGCTTCGTCCTGTCTTCCAGCTGTTACCCTCCCTCACCGCTGGCCCCCAGGGCCTGTCCTGCGTTCAGCAGGGAACCTCTACCAGCCTCCAGAATTCCTACAGGAACGGCAGGCTGAGTGGGTCGTGTACCACTTTGGCCCTGCCTTTCCCCTCTTCAGGGAGGTGAAATTCAGGGGCCACCCCACTCTGCCCCTAGCCACCTCCGGGCCTCCACGATAGGCATTTTCCTTGGGTGGCAACATGGCCTTGAACTGGCCATGCTAATTCAGTTTTAAGGCTCTTTGTGGAAGGCCTTCTGACGTTGAGTGAGTGTAGAAAAGGAAGCGAATAAAAAACCACATTGAAGCAAGAGCTCCTGCTTCTGCTGAGGGACCTTTTTGCAGGTGTGTGAACCAGTGGGCCCACTAATGCCCCAGGCACAAAGCCTCAGCCCCGATTGAAAATGATCATGACCCATCCCCTACCACCTAAGACCCAAGGGCAGGGTCTGTGCCGCTGGGCTGTTTTCCCATTCCTGTTCTCCAGTACACACACCACACCCGATAGGTGTATTTTTCTTCGCACTAAACTTAAACAGAATTCACATATTCTTCGGGAATCAAATGGGACACTGGAAGAAATCACCACATTCTAAAGCTCAGTGGTTGAACAGAAACTGCACCCAAGCCAAACCCCAGGTCTCTCGAGAGCAACACTGACAGCGGGTGGGCAAGCAGGAAGGGGCTGTGGAGTCTGGCGCACGACACACGCCTGGCCCATCCTTGGTGCAGGGGCGCAGTTAAAGGCACTGGCGTGGACTCAAACCAGACTAAATCCTGATTCTGCTTCCAACCAGCTACGTAAACTCAGGTCTACTATTTAGCCTCTTGGGACCTGTAAAACCAGAATTGTACCCGTCTCATGGGGACATGGATGAGCACTGAAATAAACTGATGAAGGTAAAGCCCCCAGTACAGGCCAGGTGCTTATTCACTGAGAATCACTATCATCACCGTCCCCAACTCCTTCTGGGTCGTCTGCTCCACCGCCAGGAGGTGTCCACAGCTGGTCACCAAGGGAAGGGGGCTCTCCGTCACTTACTTTGCCCAAACTTGGCTGCAGGGCCCCTCAATCCCTGGGCCTCTCTCTCCAGGGTCCCCTGTCCCCTGTGGGTGTGCACCACGGGTCCCGGATCACTAGGTATGGTTATCAGTGTGCACAGGATGCACATACCCAGAAGCTGGGAAGGATACTGACATAAACATCTGGCCTATGGATCCCGATTCTACCATTTCCTGGCCAAGGGACCTCAGTCACCAGTGACCAAGTCCCTTATCCTTTTTGAGTTCTGGATTATAAAACAGGAAACATTTCCTTCCTTGTGAGATAACCCAGTACTCAAGCTTTTCCTTATTAAGGACAATCCACACAGACCACGAGTCACATACGATTCCAGGAGGACAATCACAGGATCTTCGGTGCCTTTTGAATTTCTGCTCCCGGGGCTGAGGGTCAGAACTGTCCAGAGGCTTTAATAAGTTTTTAACCACGATGTCAGTACAGTAGAGAAGGATTTGATTCTTCAACACATGATAAATGGAAATCAAGCTTCAGGTTACAGGCCTCCCACATGGAAAGAGGGGGCGCTGGTCATGTTGACTGAGGTGTCTGGCAGTCATCCCAATGGCTTCAAATGCTCCATCCCCTCGGGAAGTCCAGTCACAGGCCTGCCAGTGGGCCACGTGAGGGTGGGGTGGACCGTTAGCCTCGTCTCCACGTGCTGGGGCAAGTGCACCCAAGCCCCCGGTGTCCTGCTGCTTGTCACTAAGGACGGCAGTATGGAGCCCGGGGCCTGGCAGGGCTCATTCGGAGAGGGTGGGAAAAGCCACAGTGCCATCACAGAAGAGAGGAGCAAGTACTCCAGCACCCCAACCCCAGCTTCTCCTCGGGAGGCAAGTAGCTGCTCACCCTCTAGTGGAACAGGAGACTGGATTTGGCCACCCAAGTCGCCCGAGTGGGAAATGAGGCAGCTTGACACTCAGCAGGGAGCACCTTAGAAAGTGGCCGTGGCCCCAGGGATCTGCTGGGCATGATGCACCACAACTCTGGCTTGTTTCACGGTGAGCTGGAGAGTGAAAATCAGCCGGGCTGGGGCTCTGCCAGCCTGCCCGGGGACAGGCAGAGAAGCCCTGATCCGGGGAGGGGCAGCAAAGGAAGCCTGAGGCCCCCCTGGCGCTCAGCCCTCCTGGACAGCCGGGGGACAGGCTGTTGTTGGGGGAGCAGGCTGCCAGGGTTCGTCGGGTTGCCTGACTGTGACGGGTTTGCATGTCATGGGGCAAGGCCAGGATGTAGGCCAGGGCTGTAGCAGCGGAGCGGAGCCGCACAGTCCCAACGCAGGCGGGCATGAAACAGAACGGCAAAGGGCAGTCAGCCCCTCCACCGCTCTGCTGCCCTTCTCCCCGCTCTCCTTCCGTCACCTCAAGATGTGTGTGCCCAGCCTCACGTGCAGCTGGGCTGGCTCGAGGTAACAGCGGATGATGCCCACCCCACGGTGGGGGTGGCCCAAAGGAAATGCAGGCCTTTAAGGGAAAGCTGCTGGACACCGCCGCGTCCCTCACTTTTCACATGCAGACTGCACTTGAGTCCCGGCTCATCCGCACTGTCGAGAGTTTCTACCACATCCTTAGGGCTCTCGAGGGGAAGTCAGCTTGACTTCACACGCAGAGCGGGGGCAGCAGGAGCAGCTGTGGTGGGGCCAGGGGGGCCGTATGTAAATGAAGACCAAGAAGCTGAGGCCAGGAAGGAGCACGGAAGCTGAAGCCACCAAGCAAAGCGGGTGGGCAGCACACTGGCGGAGGGAGCAGGCCCCGCATGGAGGCCAGAAGACGTCTGGGCCCGGAGCCCAGGGCAAGTGTTGCTGAAACCAGACAGGAGTCCCAGGCAGAGCAGAGCTACTGAGGGGAAGCACCTCCACCTGCTCCTGGCTCACTCCCCATCAGGCAACAGGGGCTGGAAAGACAGGCAGAGGCACGGCAGTTAACAGCCTCACATCAGAATAGCCCCTAACATGCAGGAGCCCCCCCGGGCCTGAGCTGTTCAGATAGACCCCCAACCTGCAGAGCGGTCCCCATCCAAGCCACCACGGCTTTCAGGGATGACCCACAGCCCCTCGGCCTGATAGATACCCCCTCTCACCGCATCCTTCAGGCACTTTGAGTGGCCAAGAACAGGCAAAACCTACCCCAAGCACTCACCCCTTCGGCAAGCGCCCGTTAGATAAGCTCCCCCCCCCCCACGAGACTAGCCCCAAGGCTGGAAGAGTAGAAATTACAACACCCTTTCACCGTGCCCAGGCCCTTCCTTGAGGGAGAGAAGGCCACACTTTCCCCTCATGAAACCACAGGAAGTTGGGGAGGGGCATAAAGACCAGTCCTCTCCCAAGAGACAGGCCCCCGGAGCCCCCTGAGCCTGAGCAGCTGCATTTGCCACAATGGCTGGGATGCGCTACTTTGATACCAGGGCTCCCCATCAGCCAACCTAACCCCACCTTCAAGCTACTTGGTTTCCCACCACGCTACGGAGTGTTCTTCCTGGCAAGGCCCAAGACTTTCCTGGGTGACCCTTCTCGAAACCTGGCCCTACCCCAGCCTGGAAGGGGAGACCAGGACCCCATACCTGTCCTTCAGTCAGGATCCCTGGCTCTGGGCGTTTCCAAGATGAAACCAGGAGGATGTAGAACACCAGGAGCCCGAAGAGCACCACCAGCATCCCGAGGCTGTTGGCAAAGACAGCCTCACTGGGCAGACTGGAATATAGCTGGGTGGCATTTTTCCTGAAGATGACAAAACAGGGTGGGCCCTTGAGAGACTTTCCACCCGTGTTTGCCCAACACCATTAGCAGATGGTGAGAAAAGCTTCCAAGGACCATCTCTGACCTGGAACGTTAACATACTAAGTCCCTACCACCACGCAAATATCTACAGACTGCTTTCTACCTCTGCGGGAACTGAAGCTCAGAGAGGCAGGTGAGCTTGCCCAGCGTCAGAAAACTAGTAACTAGTAAATGGCAGAGCCAAGACTTAAACCCCAGTCTGACCTCCTACCTTATTTGCTTTCACTACCCACCCCCTGTCTTAAAAGAACGGGGGACGGTAGCGGTGAGGCATGCAGGCTGTAACCCCAACCCAAACCCCAGCGCCGCCGCTTACTGGCTGTGTGCCCTCAGGTCAGTTACTTAACCTCTCTGTGCCTCAGTTCCCTTCTTTGTAAATGGCAATGGCAATGACAACAGTATCTATGTTGTAAAATGATTAAAGGGTTAAATTTAAGGTGCTTAGAAGAGTTTCTGACGCACAGCAGGTACTAAGTCAGTTTGATGGTAGATACACGTTTGCTGACCAATTTACCGATCTCAACCTAAAGACTCCAGGACCTTCCAGATCAGGAACAATCCCAACCCCAAAGGCTCCCCTCCCTTGGCTAAGTCCTATGATCACAGGGTACATCTTTTGAAGACCCTATGCCTTCCCCTCCATGTCAGAGTGGGGGGCCCCATCCCACTCACAGACTGAAGAAAAGCTTCTCATTGATGCCGGAAATGACAGATGCAACGGACAGGGAGAGGATGATGACGCCAAAGAAGAAGTGGATGGGTTTAAGGAGGCTGCGCAGCCACACGGACGCCCAGGGCAGCAGGAAGACGGCAAAGCCCAGGAACCACTGTGAACACAGGGAGGGAGAACCTGACGGCCCTGTGCTGGGCCCAGAGGTGCAGCGGGCCATCCCGCCCCACCACGACCTCCTACCCTGCAATGGTCCCTCACCCCTCTTTCCCAGCTCACACCTCCCACCAGGTGCCGCCCCTAGCTTCTGCACTGTGGTCGCCTTCTTCGCCAAACCAGAACGTTCCATGAAATGCTTAGCTACAAGCCCGGTCTCCCGAAAGCCCAGCCATCCTTGTACGTCCCTGCTTCCTTCCAGTCCTGGCCCATAGAACTCCTCCCTTGTACGGGGCTGGCCTCAGAATGCAGAAACCACTTTCAGAATTGCTTCTGGTTCAAAGAAAGGTGGGAATGGGGAAGGTGGCAAAGATGACCTAGCGTCAGCGTGGCGTGTGCTGTGATCGGGGCAGCTGAGCGTGCCCCAGGACGACAGAGGGGCAGCGTGACAAGTAAGAGAAGGAGCAGGTGAGTGTGGGAACCGGCAGTCTCCTCCGGCCATTTCAGCTGCCGACGCTACGGGGTGTGCCCTGCGGGGCCGTCTCCAGGCGGTGAGCAGAGGGAGTGTGCGGTGCGGGTGAAAGGGCAGCCCCAACCAGAACCCCCAGCCGCCAGCCGGCAGCAGGAACCCGAGGGAGGGCACGCACCTGGCAGGCAAACAGGAAGACGGTGACGATGCCCAGCCAGCTGTGCAGGGAGTAGAGGTTGGCGACCTTGGAGTGGCGGTGGAACTGAAAGACGGCGACCAGCCCCAGCACGGTCAGGATGAAGGCCAGCAGGTGCAGGGCCGCGTGGCCAATCTTCCATGGCAGCTTGGGCCCTGCCCAGGACTGCGGCAGGCGGTACACCAGCGAGGCTGCAGAAGAGAACATCCCAGGGCCCGGCCTCTTCCCCTCGTGCTGCCCCACACTACTGCGATCGACGTTATCATCGTTCCCATTTTACAAGCGGGGAAATGAGGCTCCCCTGGGCCCCGAGGCCCAGCTCTGAATGCATGGGGCAAAGATGGGTCTGGCGGGAGTAAGCAGCTTCCTCGTGGAAGGACCTGACCAGGGCATGAAAGGCTCCAATCTCCTGCTCCCTAAAGCAGAAGTTGGCAAACTACAGCTCACGGGCCAAATCCAGCCTGCCACATGTTTCTGTAAGCAGTTTTGTTGGAACATAGCCACAAACATGTTTTGGGGTTATCTATGGCTACTCACAATACAGTAACAGAGATGAACAGTTGCAACTCAGGTCATATGGCCTGTAAAGCCTTTGCCATCTGGCCTTTTACAGACAAAGTCTGTCAATCCCTGCCCTAGAGAATCTGTAAAGCTACCCTCCTCAGACGCCCCCATTCTCACTACTTCTTCCTGCAAATGACACCTGGGCCCAGAGGCAGCCCGACCTACCCCACTCCCAGAGCCCCAAACCCAACAGTGACAAAGGCCAGCCCCGGGAAGGGAGAGCTCTGCCCCAGCCGGGTCTGGGTCATGGAATGTCTGCCATGACCTCGTACTCACCAGCACTGTAGAGTACCACTAAGCCAACAACCATGAGCACTGGGTGATAGTTGAACATGAGAATGGTGCCATCCCAGGCAAAGCCACCATGCCACAAATGCATCCAAAAGATGGTGAGGATGATACACATCAAGCCCAGGAACCACAGTGAGTAGAAGGACAAGTAGAACCATCCCATGGCCATTCTGAGCAGGTGCTCCTGGAAGAAGCAGACGTCACACATCCCTGCTGGCTCTGCGGGCTTGAGTGCACCTCACCTACCAGCTAGAGGAGTAACACCGAGCTCGCTCTTGCTGGAAGGGTGGACACTTCTCACTTTAGTTCTCCTGCCACCAGCCTGGGCACCGCCCCATGAGACCTGGAGTGCTGGGTAGGCCTGACCTCTGATTGTGGACAGTAAGGATGGCCCCACCCCAGTACCTGGCAGCACACAGTGCTGGGGCCGGCTCTGGAGAAGGGCCAGAGGTCAAGTCTCTCGGCCCAAAGCCCTGGGATTAGCCTCCCTTCACAGAACCAAAAGGTAAAGAATCCACCCCACCGTACCCCACAAAAAAGAAGGGACAGGAATCCAAATCCAGGCTAGATCACACAAATGCCTAGGCCCTCAGTTCTACCAGAAGGAGGCAAAATTATCATCTGCAAGGAGCCAACACACTGTTAGGCCAGCGGAGAGGAAGTCCTATGATCTCCCACTTCTACAGGTAAGTTCTTCGCCAGACGGTGAACTCTGCGAGGCTAATCCTCCCACTGAGGAAGTAAGATCGGGACTTCCCTCTGGGGTCCCCACACTCCACACCTTGAATTGGACAGCAGCCCTCAGATGTCTCTGGGCCTGAGACTTCTGCTTTCTCTTCCTCTGAGGAAAGTTCAGAAGAGAAAAGAGGAAGCAAGAACTCATGGTCTAGAAAGCAAGAGTTTATTTTGAGATTTCTCCATGTCCTTGATAAACTCAGAAACCAACTCTGATTTCAAGACAAATGCCTAGGGCCCTGAGCAGCTGCTCTTACAAACCAGGCAGCTGGGGTGCGGGCTGGCAGGCACACACACAAAGCCACGGGACCACGTCTGCGTTCAGGGGGCGTGTAGGCAGCACAGGCCTAACTCTCAAGGCTGTCACCCTGTCCCGCAGACTCACACCAAGGAGGGGACGCTGTGGCATCCTGCAGTTGAGATCCCTCAATCTGAACCAGCTAACAGAAAAGGAAGGCCCTGAAACAGCCAAGAACTCCCATGGCGATGAAACACTTGATTCCTCACCTTTAGACTTAGTGACAAGCTGACAGAGTGGTGGCCGAGGCTCCAATTCTTATGAAGTGGGGCACCTTGAGCAAATCACTTAGCATTTGTAGGACTCGGTCGTCTCACCTGCAAGAAAGTCATGGTAATAAGAATATACTGAAGAGCAGCTAGGAGCAGACACCCCACTAGAACCCATGAACATTATGATCCCATTTGCTCCCATGAGCAGTTATCATCCCCATCTTATAGACGAGGAAACCAAGGCTCAGGAAGATTAAATACCAGCATTAGGACCCAGTAAGTTTCAGGAAGTTTCAAAGCCTTGTCTGTTTGGCTTCAAGGCTCCTGTTTTTTCCTTGACCACAGGTTGTCGAAAGGGCAAGTAAGAAAATGTCCATAAGGACATTGTGAGAGCAAAGTATTCTCCTTTTCTTGGTGTTGTCACAGCAGTTCATCCTACCTACAAACTACATACAGCCTGAAGCTCGTGGCCTTCATGGCAGCCCAGGCCTGTCGGTGGCCCTGATACTAGGCTATGCCAACTCTTTCCACAGCAGGTGTCCACCTAACCAGAAACAGACACTGAACTCTCACAATGTGACCCGAGTTGGCAGTAGTCACTGAGAAAGGAAGATCCGAGGGGCTGGGGGAAAAACAAGCTTCCATAAGGCCAAGGGAAAATAATGCCACCATCTTCCTAGGAGTTTCATGACTCAACTACTAAGCTCAGAGATTTGCCACCCAGCCTCAGAGGTGTCCCCTTAGGCCCCGTAAGAGCAGAGAAAGTTTCAGGTCACCAGATGTTCAGTCACCTCCCGGTGAGGTCGGCATGAAGCACTTGGTCAGCAGGCTCCATCCACCAGACAATTATCTTTCATGACTTCCTTTTCCTTTGGAGAAGAAAAAACAAAAGTAAATATCATCCAAAAGGGCTGTGTCCACCCTTCTCGAAGAGGTCCTGGATTACGGCTCTGGGACAGACTTAGAGTTCACAATTGGGACACTTTTCTGACAACGGGCTATGATGTTATACTGCTCACAGTACGCAGATGACCCTACCTCTACGCGAAAGTGCAGAAGAAAAAAGAAGAATGCAGTAAAATTGCAACCCTAACACTGAGAATATTCTATCATTTATTCCAAGAAAGTAGGTTGTGCTATGATTTCAGGATGTGCTCACCATTGTTTGGTCTCTGATTCTGTCTGCACTTGGTCGAGCCCCATGCTAAGGCAGAAGTCACCATGCCCTTCTATAAGGGCCTAATGGAAAATATTTTAGGCTTTGCAGGCCAAAGTCTCTCTCCCAACTCTGTCATCAACTCTTCTGATGTAGTGCAAAAGCAGTCATAAACAGCACCTTCACAAACGAACACAGCCATGTGTCCAAAAAACTTTATTTAGGGGCACTGAAACTTCAGGTTCAGGTCATTAGTACAAATCAGAAAATATTATCCTTTTCATTTGTGTTAATCTTTTAAAAATGCAAAAACCATGCAGGCGGTGTGTCTTACTCTATCGACCATGATCTAAGAAATGTACTCTCCAACCTAATACTCTCCTCAGTCCCTTGACAAAAAACGATTCTCCCTGGCTGCTGTAAAAGAGATCAGGCCTCGGTGTAAGAAATGGGTAAGCTTCCATTCAGCCCTTGATCTTAGGAAAAGGCTCTATTCCAAACTCTTACAATATTACTTTTATAATTTAGAACTACAAATAGATGAAGGAACAGAAAGTCAATTTGTTGCCCCCGCTTCCAGGATGAATGGTGGGGATTTTGGAAACCCTGAGAATCAGACTTCGCGGTCAAGTCCTACACTCTTCTCTTACAGATCAAAATCACTGGAACCCAAAGAAGGAAAGCGACTTGGCCACGATGAGTGGCAGAGCTGGTACAGGAACCCGGGTTCGCTTCCCTCAGCTCCAAGGACTCCTCACGTCCAAACGTGGCTTCTGTAAAGTCAGGGCTCAGGAGTGAGGGCCCCTAAGTTTCAGTCGGGAGGTAGATAGGCAAGGCGCTCCTTGGCGCCACAGTGATTACAGACCCGCCCTTCCAGACGGCCCCGGTCTGGCTCAGGTGTCCGGAGAACCGTTCCAGGAACCCGGAGCCCGATCCCCGACTCTTCTGCGGGGACGAAGGGCTGTTGGTCCTAGCTAACCTTCGGTGACAATAAGGGCGAGGGGCTCCGCCTGCTGACTGCGACTCCCGAAGCGCTTTCGTGCCTGTACAACCACACCACACCTGTAGAAGGAAGGGCGCGGACAACGGTGTCCATTTCCTACAGGAGAAAGCTGAGGCCGAGTGAAGGGTAGCGACAGCGCGGAGAGGTAGTAGCGGAGCCAGCGCTCGAACCCAGATCCCTGAACTCCCCATCCGAGCTCTTTCTCACCCCCGAACCACAGTGGGTCGCAGGGGTCTCCGAGACCCGCCTCTCGCCCCCCGGCGCGGTAGCTACCAGGACTCCAGGCGGACGGAATCCCGGACCCTGCCGGAGGGGCGCGACCGTGCAGACCGCACCGCAGCCCCAGGGCTGTGAACCGAGCCGCCTCCTTCTCTTATAGGCTCACAGCACTTCCGGGCGCGCGCGCGGCCCCCTGGGAAATGAAGTCAGAGGTTGCAGACTTCCAACTCCAGTTCCTTCGCGGGCGTGTCTTCCCCAGGGAGCGCCGCCAACAGTTCGGCCCGGTCCCTCACCCCCAGCTCGTGTGTGGGCGGACGCGAAGCCTCTCGTCGGGGACTGGCCCTCAGCAAGGCCGCGGGGCAGCGTCTGGGAAGGTCAGGAGCTGGACGCGGCGTCGCCGGGAGCAGGAGAGGAGCGGGCCCAGGAAAGCGGCGGCCAGATATGGCAGCCGGGCTGGCCACAGAGCGCGGAGCGAAAACCGAGGACCGGCGGATAACACGGTACCGACGGAGCCCGCGTCCGCCATCTGCTGCCGGGATTTATTTATTTTTTTTAAAAAGATTTTATTTATTTATTTCACAGAGAGAGATAGCGAGAGCAGGAACACAAGCAGGGGGAGTGGGAGACGGAGAAGCAGGCTTCCCGCGGAGCAGGGAGCCCGACGCGGGGCTCGATCCCAGGACGCTGGGACCATGACCTGAGCCGAAGGCAGACGCTTAGGGACTGAGCCACCCAGGCGCCCTACTTCCGGGATTTAAAACCGGTTTCCGGAAGCCAGGACGGCGTCCCCATGACAACCGACGTTGGGGCTTTGAGGTGAGAGTGCTTGAGGAGTGGGTGAGGTGACCAGAATCGGAATTTTTGTTTTTACTGTTTTGGGTGTTTTTTTGTTTTTTTGGGGGGGGGGTTTGCCAAGGGAGCCGCATTTTGAGGTGGATTGGGAAGGATTGGGAGGAAAGCTGCTCTGGGGACAAAGGGAACGCGGCAGGGAGCGTGGACAGACCGAAGACGGCTTCGTTACCTCGCGAATCTCTGCCTCCTTAAAGCGGAGGCGATGGGCCTCCTTCCCGTAGAGTTGGCGGCGGGCGGCTCTCTGTCACGGATCCTCACGACAGCCCGCCGCGGTGGCCCGTGAGGTCGTGGTTTAGAGCGCGGGGCGTTGGTGTCGTCCCCCCGCTGTGAAGCCTGGCTCTGCTCCCCTGCGACCTGGAGGCACGACTTGAGCTCTGACCCTGGGTTCTTGCCTGTATAACGGGGGGGCTCCTTCTTTCCCACCTTGCAGAGTAGTCGCGAGGATTAAAGGAAGTTGTCCTGGTGGCCAAGTGTATCATGGTGCTGGTAGTAGGTGATAGCTGTCCGCTCAGAGAAAGTGCCATCATGCAGCCACTAAGGTGGGACTTCTCCACCAGCGGAGGGGGATGCGGTTCCTTAACCTCTCAGAGCCTCTGTGTGGTATGGGGATTAAATTCATACTAACGGCTGCTTCTCAAAATGGGTGTAGGATTAAGTAACCTGACGAATATAAGAAGAGCTTGTAAATTGTAAAACATTTTGCAGACGTTAATTTAATCTCATCCTCTTACACCTCAGAGCATTTTGAAATTTGTTTATAGATTTGACCCAGCTGGAGGGGTCACAGGACACCTGCAGAGCAATTTCTGGGCCTTGGATTATGTGAAAGTAAAGACTCAGCCCCCCTTACCTGGTGCCACTGTGTTGCCACCCCCTTAAACATAGAGTTTTGCAGGAGAGCACTATTTCCTCTGCCCTGCCTGCACCACTTCCCACTTCTGCGCCAACATCTTTCCCACCTAGTACATATCAGCCTGTCTGTTAAATGAGAGGCAGCTTTGGGCATTGGTTAAAAGCACAGACTCTGGACCCAAGCTGCCTGAATCCCAATCCCAGCTCTGTCACTGCTACTAGCAGTGTGACCTAGGACAAATTATTTTACCTCTCCGAGCCTCAGCTGTCCTATCTGTGTAATGGGTAGAGTAATACTAGTGTGTCTTCTACTTCATGGGGTTATTTTGAGAGTTACAGAATTTTAGTGCTTAGAATAGTCCCTGGCAGGGGTGCCTGGCTGGCTCAGTCCGTGGAACATGTGACTTGATATTGGGGATCAGTGTCATGAGTTTGAGCCCCATGTTGGATGTAGAGATTACTTAAAAAAAAAAAAAAAAAAAGAATAGTCCCTAGCATACTGTAAGTGATTATATAAAGGTTTGCTGCTGCAATTAGTATTAGAATTAGTATTAACTGCATGACCCAGACAGTCACTCTTTGTAGTGCTCCTAGATTCCTTTGAACTCAAAAGTGGAAAGAGCTCTGCGTTGGGGCGCCTGGCTGGCTCAGTTGGAGGAGCATGTGACTCTTGGTCTCAGGGTCATGAGTTCGAGCCCCACGTTGGATGTAGAGACTACTTAAAATGAATAAATTAAAACTTAAAGAAAAAAGAAAGAGCTCTGCATTTAGAAGTTTCCAGGCATGCAGAAAGTTTGAGGGTGAAGGTCCCTAGGAATGACTAGTTGGGTTTTTTGGGAGGTGGTAGTGTTTTTGGTCTTTGATGTATCCCAAGCAGCTAGAATGGGACCTGGCATGTAGCAGGTCCTCAGTAAATATTTACTCTATTAATGAATTTCTAACCACCTCTCTCTCTCTCTCTCTCTCTCTCTTTCTCTCTCTCTCTCTCTTTTTTCCTTTTTGCCTCAACAGGCCCTTGTCTTAGAGCAAGGAAAACAGCTCTGATTTGAGGAACTAGTGCTTCTCCCTCAGTGCTGGGGAGAAAGCCAGGAGCTGTCTTCTGGGGAACTGTGGAGTGTGCCCCTGGGGACCCAATAAAGCAGAAGGAAGATGCTCCAGACCAGTAACTATAGCCTGGTGCTCTCCCTGCAGTTCCTGCTGCTGTCCTATGACCTCTTTGTCAATTCCTTCTCGGAGCTACTCCGGATGGCTCCTGTCATCCAGCTGGTGCTCTTCATGTGAGTTCAGTGGGTGGGACTGGACAGCTGAACCCGAGCGGTTTGAAAGCTCTGACAATTGTGATTTAGCATTTTAAAGTTATTAATAGAGAAATCTTAGGGAAAATAAAATTTCATGTATCTTGAGTACTCCACAGACATGTCACAGATCCTGTATTTATATGCTTCTAATAAGGGTCTAGGATCCAGGGAGCAGTCAGAGGGTTATTTTCTCAGTCTGTGAGTAGAAGTATTATCTTACATTGCTATGAAAGAGGATTACAGAACAGTGAGCTCAAAGGGCAGTCAAATCTGTTATGTATATGGGATGAAGCTGTTGGCATTTTTCTTCCACAATGATTGATAGACTCCACGAGGCAAGTTATTAACAGAAAATCAGTCTTTGACACTGTCTTCCTTCATTCAACAAGCGTTCATTGGCCTGCCAGACAGTGTTCTAGGTACAGTAGTAAAGCTGACAATTTCCTGCTCTCACAGGATTTCCACTCAAATGGAAAAAGACAATGAATACATTTTTTTAAAGATAATTTTGAATAGTAACAAATGTACAGTGGATGGAAAGCGGGTGGGGCGGAGAGGGGAGGGCTCCTTGAGGCAGTGGGGTTAAAGGAGGGTTTCAGAAGAGGAGACATTGGAACTGAGACTTGAATGGCCCTAAGACACCAGCCGTGCAAAGATCAAGGGAAAGGTGTTGCCATCTGTCTAGGCGGAAATGTCTGGCAGGCCCAGGTTATGTGACAGGCGGGGCTGGCTTTTTCTGGATATAGGGAAGAAAGCAGCTTCTCCTCCCAAGTGTCTAGAAGGTCAAGAGCACCAGAGCAGGAAAGCTTTGTCTGTGGGCTGCACCTCACTGATGGGGCCAGCAGGGAGTTCGAGACTCATGTCATTTGGGACCCAAAGCCCATGCCACTGTTGGGGGGGGGGGTGTGGTTTCAGGGGCCTAGAGCACAGGGAAGGCCAGACTTCATGGTGTCCCTTAGGACTTAGGGCCAACTCTTGGGTCGTCCCACAGACCTCCATTTGGCTGTATTTTGTTTGATGTCTGCAGCATCCAGGATATCGCGATACTCTTCAACATCATCATCATTTTCCTTATGTTCTTCAACACCTTCGTCTTCCAGGCTGGCTTGGTCAACCTCCTCTTCCACAAGTTCAAAGGGACCATCATCCTCACAGCTGTGTACTTCGCCCTCAGCATCTCCCTTCATGTCTGGGTCATGGTAAGAGCGGAGCTCTTGAGTTCCTGAATCCTTAAGGGGCTAGAAGTATCTTTTTTCTAGGAATCCAGCCTCAATTTTTTACATCTCACAGAAACCTTGACAGGAAACAGGTGTGTTTGTGGTGAATGAATGTGGTGCCGCCTGGGCTTGGGGAAGTTGCATAAGGCACTTCTGCCCGACCTTTTGTGTTAAAGAACTGCCTTATCCAAGAGTCAGGGGACACTTCTGGAATATTCTGTGCACCTTTGCCCCAAAACAGTCCTGGTAAAACAGGAAGGTGACTGTGTTTCATCATTAGCTGTTTGGGCAGGTGGGTGTTGGGACAAGGTATTCTTAGACATTGGTGTCCCGTGGGAAATGGCCAGGCCAAGAGTGTCACTTGCCCTTTAGTGCTTCATGCCCTCTGCTCTGTGCCCATCACACCAGAAGGACTCATCTCCAAGGTGCTGACACGGCCTCACAGCAGATCCCAGTTTTCATGGTTCAGATTCTCCTGCTTCACGAATTGTTCCATCTCTTTGGGTATTGCCGGTGTTTCTCATACTCATTTTGATGGAACGCATTAAAACCTCAGGGTTCTCTAGTCACTTCTCTACTAAAGCCACCTTCTTAGACTGAACCTTCTCTTAAGTCGCCCTTGTTATTCCAGAGAGAAGTAGAGCTCACGGGAAAGAAATAGCAGTGCCAGAGTCTCTTAAGCGCTTCCTGAAGAGGATTGTCTCTGCTCTGGTTCTTGGGGCCAAAATAGGTCCTGGCTTTGTACTTTGTGCTCTAAAGCTGTTAATCTGATTAAACCCTGAGTGTACTAAGCCTTTATCTGACAGGAACTGAGCTTGAGATCTTCAAGGAAAGACAGTGACCACACTGAACTGAGATAATGTGTATCACTTCTCCTTGGAAAAGGCTATGGAATGAAAGGGAATAAATAGCTTAGTTCAAACTCTCTCCTCCAGGGTTAAAAGGATATTTCCTTTGCACAGAAAAGGGAGTTTGAAGCTCCTTTGAAAAACACTCCTTGGGGTTGTGGGAAGAGAGAAGGAGGCTGAGATTAGCCTGATTTGAAACCAAGCGGCATTTCTGCAGCTAACCAAGTTGGAGATTCTAGGGCCTCATCTGGTCACTAACCTTTCCCTGTCTACTCATGTCTCCTTCAGAACTTACGCTGGAAAAACTCCAACCGCTTTGTCTGGACAGATGGACTTCAAACGCTGTTTGTATTCCAGAGACTAGGTAAGGACCAGAGCAACCTCAGGCCTCCCTTCAGTGGCACCCATGGCTCAGGCAACTAAGGGCCGCGATCCTGGCTTTCACAGTCCATCACGGCCAGCATGGGACGAGTAAAACAGCCATGACAAGAGCAGGAGGGATGGTGGCCGGCTGCCCTTGCAAGGGAGGCACTGGGAAATCAGGGGGCAGGGCCCCTCCGCCTTGTTAGGTTGTGTTCTTTTTTTTTTTTTTTTTTAAGATTTTTTATTTATTTATTTGACAGAGAGACACAGAGAGAGAGGGAGCACAAGCAGGGGGAGTGGGAGAGGGAGAAGCAGGCTTCCCACGAGCAGGGAACCCGATGCGGGGCTCTATCCCAGGACCCTGGGACCATGACCTGAGCTGAAGGCAGACGCTCAACGACTGAGCCCCCCCCAGGCGCCCCGTTAGGTTGTGTTCTTAGCCTGAAACGGATATTCAGGAGCATCACTGACGCTTCTTTCCTGCGTACTGCCCACAGCGGCGGTGTTTTACTGCTACTTCTACAAGCGGACAGCTGTGAGACTGGGCGATCCTCGCTTCTACCAGGACTCGTTATGGCTGCGCAGCGAGTTCACCCAAGTCCAAAGGTGACCGCTTCTTGTCACACTGATGGATGGATGCCTTTCCTTCCTGACAGAGGCTATGTTTGTGGCTCTGTGGGGTGGGCGTCGGCCCTATGCACAGGAAGCACCTTGACTTTACTAGGACCGTCTCTGGCCACTTGTGTTCAGCCATCAAGAAGGAAGATCTTCCGTCTTGCAAATTGAAGTGTTTCCCAGTACAGGCTTCAGTACATAACCCTCCCCGGCCTCCACCTCGGTTCTGCCCCTTTTCCTTTCCTGCTCTGTGCCCCTCTTCTCACACAGTGCTGTGAGGCTTGATCCTTGGGAGGCTGTCACTTAGCCTGGTACAGGAGGGGCTCCTGGCACCTGCTTTCTTTGCAGCAAACATAATTAATGGATGCAAAGAGTGACATTTCTGAGCTCCTGACTGATCACACTGTAGACATTTAGATTTTATACCTAAGGTGGCTTTTTTTACATTTTATAAATAGGAAATAAATCGAATTCTTTTTCCGTACATGGTAGAGTCTGTTTGTGTAGCTACATCTCTTCCCAGATAAGAAGCATGTCAAGTCCTGGCCTTAGCATTTACTTGACCCAGTGGGCAGCTTGAACCACAGAACAAATAAAGATATTTATTGAGTGCCGTTATGAGTATAAGCTATTTTTGTAGAAATTCGAGGTGCGATCTGATGCCCCACCCCAACCCTTGGAGTTCCAGACTTCTGTGCCTTTTTTTTTTTCGGGTTTTATTTATTTATTTATTTTAGCTGAGAGAGAGAGAGAGAGAACGTGTGTGCATGTATGCATGTGCACCTGGGGTCAGGTGGGCGGGGGAGGAGTAGAGGGAGGACAAGCAAACTCCGCGCTGAGCAGGGAGCCCGACATGGGCCTTGATCTCATGACCCTGAGATCATGACCTGAGCCGAAGCCAAGAGTTGGACGCTTAACCAACTGAGCCACCCATACGCCCCTGGACTTCTGTGCTTTATTCAGCACAGATCCCTTAACTGCCCTCAGAAGAATAAAAATGTTCCTTAGCCTGTTTTGGCAAAAGAAATTTTTTAAAATTCATATGCCCATGGTATCAGTTTTCTTTTGCTAGAATAATGTGTAACAGACTACCACCAAACTTCAGTGGCAGGTACCAATAAATAGTTACATGGCTCTTGAGCCTTGGGGTTCAGCTGATTGGGCCGGTTCAGGTGATTTCTGCTGGGCTTGCTCATGTGTCTGTGGTCATCTGTGGGTCAGCCAGGCAGCTGTGATGATCTTGGGATTTGGGGCTTTTGGCTAACCTAGGCTGGTCTCAGCTGGACTGACTGGGCTGTCCTGGTTCTCATGAGTCATCGTCCAGAGGACTAGCCTGGGTCTGTTCACATGACAGTGGTAGAGGAGCAGAAGAATGAGCTCCATTGTGCAATCTTAACTTCAAGCCTTTGCTTGTATTGTGTTCTCTTGGACTCCCATTGGTCAAAGCAAGTCATATGACTGAGCCCAGAGCCCAGGTGGGAAAGCACTGCAAAGTGTCCTGGTAAAAGGCACAGATAGAGGGAGGGCCATTAATTCAGTCTAACCACGTCAGAAGGTTGCTCTGTAAAACTCATCATTCAGGGCGCCTGGGTGGCTCAGTTGGTTAAGCGACTGCCTTCGGCTCAGGTCATGATCCTGGAGTCCCGGGATCGAGTCCCACATCGGGCTCCCTGCTCAGCAGGGAGTCTGCTTCTCCCTCTGACCCTCTTCCCTCTCGTGCTCTCTATCTTTCATTCTCTCTCTCTCAAATAAAAAAATAAAATCTTTAAAAAAAAAAAATAAAACTCATCATTCAGAAGCATTTTAGCACAGGGGTGGGCAAACTTTTCCTGTGAAGCTCCAGATAATAAATATTTTAGATTTTGAGGGCCATATGGTCTTTGTTGCAACCATAAGCATACCTTGCTTTATTGCGCTTCACAGATACCGTGTTTCTTACAGATAGAAGGTTTGTGGCAAACTCATGTTAAGCGAGGATGTTGGCACCACTTTTTTCAACAGCCTTTGCTCGCTTCATGTCTGTGTGTCGCATTTTGGTAATTCCCGCAACATTTCAGACTTTCTCATTTTGATTATATGTGTTATGGTGCTCTGTGATCAGCGATCTTTGATGTTGCTATTGTAATTATTGGGGGCACAATGAAGCGCACCCCTGTTGGTTAGCAAGTTTAGGCCATAGATGTTCAGCATGTTGTGATTCCACCGACTGGCTGTTCCCCGTCTCTCTCCCTCCTCTGGCCTCCCTATTCCCTGAGACATGACAGCATTGAACGTAGGCCAGTTAATAACCCTACCATGGTCTCTGAATGTTCAAGTGAAAGGAAGAGTTGCATGTCTCTCACTTAAAATCCAAAGCTGGAATGACTAAGCTTACTGAGGAACACATGTCAAACGCCAAGGTGGGCTAAAAGCTAGGCCTCTTGGGCCAAACAGTCAAGTTGTGAATGCAAAGGAAAAAAATGAGAAGCGCTGCTCTGGCATTCACACAAACAAAGCATAGCAGCCTTGTTGCTGATACGGAGAAAGTTTGAATAGAAGATCAAACCAGCCTCAACGTTCCTATAAGCCCAAGCCTAACCCATAGCCAGGCCCAAACTCTTCAGTTCTGTGAAGGCTGAGAGGGGTGAGCAAGCTGCCCAAGAAAAGTCCAAAACTAGTGGAGGCTGGTTCATGAGGTTTAAGGAAAGAAGCCAGCTCCATAACATACAAGTGCACAGTGCAGCAGCTGCAGCAAAAAGATTATGACTGGGGACACTTGGGGGGCTCGGTTGGTTGAGTGACTGCCTTCAGCTCGGGCCATGATCCCGGGGTCCTGGGATCAAGCCCCACATTGGGCTCCTTGCTCAGTGGGGAGCCTGCTTCTCCCTCTGCCTGCCACTGCCCCTGCTTATGCTCTCTCTCTCTTTCTCTCTGACAAATAAATAAAATTAAAAAAAAAAAAAGTTACAACTCACTGAAAGCTCAGATGATGGTTAGCATTTTTTAGCAATTTTTTATTTTTAATTTTATTTTTTTAAGGATTTATTTTTTTAGAGAGAAAGGAGGGGGAATGGGTAGAGGGAGAGGGAGGGAGAGAATCTCAAGTCAACTCGCCGCTGAGCGTGGAGCCTGACACAACACGGGACCGGATCCCACCCATCAGATCATGACCTGAGCCGAAACCAAGAGTCGGGCACTCGGCCAACTGAGCCACCCAGGCACCCCAGCAATTATTTTTAATTAGGTATGAATATAGGTATATATGTAGGGTTTTTTTTTAGACATAAAGCTAGTGAACTCTTAGTGGACTATAGTATGGTGTAAACACGACTTTTATGTACACTAGGAAACCAGAAAATTCATTTGACTTGCTTTATTGTGGTATTTCTTTACTGTGGTATTCTGGAACCAAACCTGCCGTATCTCAGGCGTGCCTGTAGTCCACTTCAGCATCATAGTGTGAAAGCGGCCAGAGATGATACGTCAACAAATGGATGCAGCTGTGTTCTAATAAAACTATTTAATGACACAAATTTGAATTTCATATCATATTCATGTGTCACAAAATATTTTTCTTTAGACTTTTTTTTTTTTAAGATTTCATTTATTTATTTGAGAGAGAGAGAATGACAGCACGAGAGGGAAGAGGGTCAGAGGGAGAAGCAGACTCCCTGCTGAGCAGGGAGCCTGATGCAGGACTCTATCCGGCGACTCCAGGATCATGACTTGAGCCGAAGGCAGTCGCTTAACCAACTGAGCCACCCAGGCGCCCTAGACTTTTTTCAACTATGTAAAAATGTAAAGCTATTCTTAGCTAAAGAGCTGTGCAAAACAGGCTAGATTTGCCCCAGGCCATAGTATACTGAGCCCTGATTTAGAGGGCTAGAATACAGTCCTGGAGAAAGAGAGACTATATAGTTAATCAGCTGTGCTGTCAAGATTTTAACAGTTATTAAAAAAGAAAAGGTACAGTGTTAAACCGTGTAAGGCCCCATATCCTATAATTGGAACAAGTGATCTAAAAAGACCTAACAAAGCAACCACCATCTATACTTACTATACCCTCATCTATAAAAAAGCCCAATTTTGAACTTTTCACAAAAGCTTGTATAGGAATATTATATTCCCCTTTGCTCACAACAATGCAGTTTTTTGTGCCCCAGAACGAATCTGGCCTAGATTGTTCTCTATAGTGTTTGCAGCTAGTGAGTACAACCAAATGCCTGTTTCCTTAAAATATTTGTGGCACTTTGGGGCCCTGTGAGTTCTGGGATGTGTGTGTGTGTGTGTGTGTGTGTGTGTGTGTGTGTGTGTTTACTTTCTTTAATAGCTAATATATTCATGTGATACAAAATTCAAGTTATTAAAGTTTTATGTGATTAGTTTTCTTCCTGCTGTATCTCAGCCACTGAGTTCCTTCTCTGTCCCCTCCCTGACAATCTACATTTACCTGTATACTACTTACAGATAATATAACATTTCAGAAACACTTTTACCGAAAACAGACATACAGTTTGCCATAATCCTCTCCCAGTCATTTATGTCAAACCTTTGACAATATGTGTATATATTTTAAATGCAGCTGTGATTATGGGGAATATGCCATAAGACAGTTTGCTTTTTCCCCCACTTAGCAGTAGGAATGTGTATTTATTTATTTATTTTTCTTTTTAAAGATTTTATTTATTTGACAGAGAGAAAGACAGCAAGAGAGGGAACACAAGCAGGGGGAGTGGGAGAGGGAGAAGCAGGCTTCCCGCAGAGCAGGGAGCCCGATGCAGGGCTCGATCCCAGGACCTGGGGATCATGACCTGAGCCCGAGGCAGATGCTTAACGACTGAGGCACTCAGGTGCCCCAAGGAATGTGTATTTAAGATGAGATGTTAAATTTACTCCCTGGGGACAGTCAGCAAAAAGAAAAGCATTTCACAAATGCTTAGAGACTTTTAGTAGGATAGAATTGCTCCTGGCTGACCAGTGCTCCAGTTAGTAAGTAGAAAAAAACAGATAAAATGCAAAAATCATCTTCCTAAAGGGCCTCAGAGAATTACTGAAGGAAAGACGATGGGGGGACCTAAAATTCTAAAGTAGGGAGATTCATAGAGAAGTGAGCTGACAGTCTGCAGCAGATTTTTCCCTGGGGGCATTTGCTGATTCTGGGTTTGAGCAAGAAGCTAAGAATCCAGGCGTTCCCCGGGTGGAGGGTTATAGCCAGGAAACAAGCTGAGCCAGGTTGTCTGACAACACTGGAGAAACAAAACTGAAGGCTGGAGGAGGCTTAAACACAAAACAATTACCTCCTCAAGATATTTACCAAATCTTAGGGCCAGAGGTTATCAGAAGCTAAACCTCAAAGCTCTGAAGAGCAGAACAGAATTTTTGGCAGATTTTTGGTGCTGATAATTAGAATTCAGGACCCACCAGCCGGAGGGAACCGGTGAACAGATAAAAAGCCCAGGACTCCTTACTAGGAACAAGATGAAACAGGTAGACTGACGCTTATCAAAATTGCAGTGCAGCCTCAAACCATCTAGTTCTTGAGCAAGTTAAGGTGATCAGTCCCCTTCTATCTGCCCTTCAGAGACAAGAGTGGAAGAAAAATCATCTAGAGACACTATATTTTTTATACACAATTTC